GCAGCTGTGCACACCCAAGGCACTGTGCAGGCTCCCAGACAGGCCTGGGTTAGCACTGAGGAGCTTTCTCTTCCAGGTTCCCTTTCTCTCGGGACCCCCCTTCTCCCTGGGACCCATTCTGCAGGGCCACCTCTTCCCTCTGGGATCCCCTGCTTTGTCTCTGAAGCCCCCCCACCCCCCGTGGTCTACCCTCCTCCCCATTGCCTCCCCTTCTCTCTGGTACCCCCCCTTCCTCCCTAGGATCCCTCTGGCTCTCTGCCCCCCACCCTTCTCTCCCATCCTGTGTCACTGGTGCCCAGCCTGGTGTTGGTGTGCAGGCAGCTGAGGGCAGGAACCCACTGAGGACTACTGTGCCCTCCATTGTGGGTATGAGAGCCTGCTGTCAACTGCTAGGCTCCCCAGATTTCTTACACGGGAGCAACAGGATACTTTGGGGCAGACAGAGTAAGACTGGAGGCCCAGGTGCTCTCGCATCAACAGGACCCAGTGGTCCTTGGGGAGGGCAGCCAGGGCCCCCTGCCAGGCTGATATGGCCTCTGATATCCAGGAAAGGGCCACAGGAATGAGTCCTGGTGGGCGAGAATGGGCCAGCTTCATTCGGCCTTTGGGGACTCCTTGGCATCAGGAGATCAAGAGCCAGATGAATACCCCCTCCTGGCTCACCTGCAGGGGTGTGGTGGGGGCCTTAAGGAGGGGTACCCACTCCTCCTCTGCCTCTTCCTGGGGATGTGGGGGTTGTGAGGCCGAGTAGGGTGGGCTTTAGGTCCACGGTGTGTCTCGAAGGGTCCTTCCCTGACAACCCCAAGAGCAGGGAGGTGCCATAATGCAGTGTCAGGATTCACCTAAATTCCCAAGGGATGAGAATCACCATCAGCACAAAGCTGATTCCTGTGAGGTGGAGGTCAGACATGCTTCCACTCTCTAACTTCTTCACCATTTCTGACACCAGCAGTCCCCTCCACCCCCCAGCAGTGTCTACTTTGCTGGGTTCGAGAATTCTTTGCAATAACCACACAGAACTCACTGACCATACTCAGTTACGTAGTTTATTAGGGAACTAACAGGGTACAACTCGGGATCAGAATCTGGAAGCACATAGGCAAGGTCTGGAAGGATCTCCCAAAGTGGAGAGCACATGCCTCCTGTCTCAGTGTGGGACAGCTGTCTCAGCTCCTCTCGACTCTACAAACAGGCAGCCCCTTCTCTCAGTCATGCATACCTCCTCTCGGCCATGCAGGCCTGTAGGTCCCCTCAGGACAGGACCCTCTCAGCTGTGCAGGCCTCTCTGCTTTCAGCCTCCTTGCTCTCAGCCTGTCCACTGCAAACTGGCCCAGCTCATAGCCAGTGTAGCAGCTTGCTCAGCTCTTAGCTGCCTTCCTTTTGCTGTCACCTCCAACTCTGCCACAAGGTCCCTTCTGGGCCTGTCACTATCTTGAATTTAAAAACCTTTGACGTGTGTTAAAGCTCTTTTAGGAGGTTCTTTGCCTCATCTCTGTGCTCCTCCTCGCTTCTCACCTCTAAAATCCTCTGTGGGGTTGGCTGCTTATATACTGAAACCTGTGAGACTTAGAACTTGACAGGACCACCTTGTTTCTCTGGGTCTCGCAAGTGTTCTGTCTTTGACAGGATGCAGTCTTACCACTTTTCTGTTGTTCTCTATTAGTGGAAAATATTTGCATTTTCCTTCTCTGACAGGTTTTCACCTTACACAGGTTCCGTCTTTCAAAGGTTTTACTGTTTTAGGAACTTCTTGTAAATGTCAAAGCATGGCCCTCCTAGGACCACAAACTGACCAATCCCTTCAGTGGACCACAAGTCACTGAATTTGCATAGTAAATAAACCAATCCCTGCAGTGTGCATAGAGTAGACCAATCACAGGGCAGACTGCAGCCCAGGGCTAAACCAAAAGTATCAAAACCAGATTGTTTAGAGCTTACCCAGGAAATGTCAATCAACCTGGACAAAAGAACAAACTCTCTGGGGTAGAAAACCAGGGCAAAGGTTAACTCCTCAGGGTTTAGGGGGAAAATCCAGGGCTTAGGGGAAAAAAACGGCTGTTTTTCTGAAAAACCAGGGCAAAAGACCACACAAAGGAACTCATGTTACAACAGCCCCCGCGTCCCACAGATGAGGAACCACGCAGCCACTCAGGAGGCCTGGGAGCAGACCTGCCAAGCCTCGCCCACCTTCCCCAGCCACAGTAGCACTTGGCTGCTCCATTTTTCTGTTGAATTTATGACTCATCCTGGTCCCCGTCTGCGCCGTCTGTGGAACTGAGCATCGCAGCAGTACAATCAGATGCTTAGCGCAACTGCAACACTGTCACCACCGTCTGTCTAATTATCCCTGCCTGTGAAATGGAGCTTTAGCCTGCCACCAAGGAAATTATATTTCATACACTGCCACATACTCGGAAAGATTAAAATTAGTCAAAAAATTCCATCAGTATGTGGCTTTTTAAAAAACGAGATCCACCAGCCGCTGCCAGCGAGGCAGTGAGGGCCCCCACCAAGAGCATCTGTTGCATTTAATTGGGGAGCCATTTACACCCCCCAAATGAAAATACACCCATTTTTTAGGTCAATCTGATTTTAACTAACCATCTCAGTGAGTAAATTCCAGCCTCCCAAATATCACTTGGGTGTGTGCATCCAAATCAGCAATGTTGTTGTTGTTAGGTGCTGTCGAACTGATTCTGACTCATGGTGACCCCATGTGACAGAGCAGAACTGCCCCATAGGGTTTCCTAGGCTGTAGTCTACAGGAGCAGATCCCCAAGTCTCTCTCCCATGGAGCTGCTGGTGGGTTCAGACCACCAACCTTTCGGTTAGCAGCAGAGTAGTTAACCGTTGCACCACCAGGGCTCCTTGAACCGGTAATGGATGGAAGTATTTCCTCCCCAGGTCAAGGTCAAGGCAGAGTTCAAGCATCATTTTAAATAAGACGATTTCACCTAAAGATTCTTTTTTTTTTTTTTAAATGAGCAAAGTGGCTTCCCTGACTCCTTGTTACAGACACGGAAAGTAATCCTGCATTGTGTGTCTCTAACATAACTTGGAGATTAAAGCTAAAGCAATTTCTTTTACATGCACCTGTAAATGGTCAGACATAATCAGAATATTTTTACAGAAACAAAAATAAACATAGCGCAATGAGGAAGTGAGAAACACCTCTAAAGGGAGAAACAGACTGGTTTCACAGCCGCATCAGCTCTTCAACCTCACAGAGTCCCCGCAGAGTACCAAGCACGTAGTAGGTCTTCCAGTAAGTGACATGAGCACATGATAAACGATTTATTCAGAGGGAGGAACTTTGCAGTACAAAGTTTATCTACAGAGATGCTCATCACGGTTTTTCATGATACCCAAAAGTTTACACTGTTATTAAATAATACACGAGGTGTAGAGTATTAGGCACTCATCTATTGTTGAATGGAAAATTTTTTAAAAACAGCTGCTGTCAACGATGATCCCTTGTGCATCACAGCAAAACTATGCTCCGTGGGGTTTTCAGTGGCTGATTTATCAGAAGTAGGTCACCAGGCCTTTCTTCTGAGGTGCCGATGGGTAGATGTGAACCACCAACCTTTCAGTTAGTAGCTGAACACTTAACCATTTGTGCCCCCCAGAAACTCCTGAGTGGAAAATAAAAGCTATAAAGTATGTGTAATATGTTTGCGGTTTTTTAAGGCGAAAGACCAGAGGGAGGAACATTGAAATGTTAGCAGGGGTTCCGTCTGGGTAATAGTAATAAGCTCATGGGTATTGTTTTCCTAGATTGGCTTGACTGCCCCATAGGGTTTCCATGGAGTGGCTGGTGGATTCAAACTGCCAACCTTTTGGTTAGCAAACGCTTAACCACTCACTGCTCCACCACTGCTCCACCAGGGGCCCGTATAGTTTAAAAAACATCTGTAAATCAGCAGCAGTATCAGCATATGAGGGAAGTCTTCTATTAATGTTTAGGCATCAGATGGCCTGTCTCAGGTTGCTCAATACTGTTGATCCTCAGGTGGTCCAACAAAGCCTCTTACCACCCCACCCCCAAGCACAACTGGTTTAGCTGGTGGCGAAAGTGTCCGAAGAAACGGCTGGAAGGAAGGGGGGCCGCAACAAGGCAGCCCAAAGCCCTTGGCTTGTATGATCGACACATGCATGAGGTGAAGCAAGTTACAACAGTGCCTCCAGGAAAGAGACACTAAACCTGTGACTGACTTCTTAAACAATAGTTTGGCTTAATTAGTAAAGAATGTCTGCCTTGAGCATTGTGCTCTTTTAAAGAAGTATACGGGATCAAACTCACAAGAGCAACTTGACAGGTTGCATAGGAAGCTTAGGGGGCAGTGGTTTATGTTAATAGGGGAGGAACAATTCAGAAAAAGAGGATGAGGATAGCTGTACAACTTGAAGAATGTAATCAATGTCACTGAATTGTACATGTAGAAATTGTTGAGTTGGTGTATTTCTGCTGTGTATATTCTCAACAACAAAACCAGAGTGAGATACAACTTCAAAAAAAGAAACCTGTAGCTGATGCTGTGCCCTCCAAGAAAGAGTGAGACTGCCCATACTAGGCAGACAGGCTTTGGATAGGGCCTGGAGAACAGGGACCCCCACAAACATCGCAGAACTAGGCAATAGTCCCAGTCCCAGCTTTACCACTAATCCAGGAGACCCCAGATCAGCAGCTTCCCTTAGCCAGGCCTGGCCTGTCACACGTAAGCAAGGAGGGGTACTGTGAGCCCGTGCCCCCCGGTCTTGTGGGCAATTCCAGGCCGTTCCCCAGAACCTTGGAGTCAGATTTAACAAGCTCCCCAGACAATTCCAAACTCAGCTGGGCTGCTGTCTCATTATCAGTGGCCTCCTTGATCCCTGGAACCGCAGGTACAACAAACCCTCCACCCCGTCCTCCCCCAGTGCCTTTCCCAGGGTTGTGTGTGGCCACGGGCGCCTTGCTGTAACTGACAGCTTCCTTCCATCCATCCGTCCCCGCCCCCTAGGGAGCTGTGGGAGGAGAGCGGCCTTACGGCGGACACGCTGCACAAGGTGGGCCAGATCACCTTCGAGTTCGTGGGCAACCCCGAGCGGATGGACGTCCACATCTTCTGCACTGACCACGTCCAGGGGACGCCCACAGAGAGCGACGGTGAGTGTCCCTCTCCCACCTCAGGACGGAATAGAACTCCCAAGGTGGCAAGGGGCTGGCAACCTGAACCTGGTGGGGCTCAGGGAGGCTGCCCACCTGAGCCTGGTCCATGGTGCTGGCCAAGGCATCCAAGCACCCCTGGGAGCCTACCTTCTGTACAGTGAGGACCACAGGCATGGGGACTGGACAGGGAGGTGGGTCACACTCCTCACACAGGGCCGGTTCACATCTCCCTTCTATGCAGAAATGCGCCCGCAGTGGTTCCAGTTGGATCAGATCCCCTTCGATGACATGTGGCCTGATGACAGCTACTGGTTCCCACTCCTGCTCCAGAAAAAGAAGTTCCTTGGACACTTCCAATTCCAGGGCCAGGACACCATCGTGGCACACATGCTGTGTGAGGTAGATCAATTCTAGGGGGGGCGCCCACAGTCTGGCCGGGAGAGCTGGAGTCAGTGGGATCAGGGGGCTGGGCTGACTAATCTTCCTTGTTTGGCACGCAATTGGATGAAAGGAAAATAAATATCTTGATTTTTAAATTAAGCATTCTTCACTGGGTGGCACCAGAGCCAGCCCAGTCCTGTCTCCAGGAAGCTGCGGGCGTGCACTCTGAGTGGCCTGTGCTGGGCTGTGACCACACTACCCAGGGCAAGAGCAGGAGGGGAGAAACTGTTCTAGCTGTCTCTGGTGCCTGCTGTGGACAGGTTGTGCAGGAGAGCCAGGTGTGGCATGTGCACGCACCACTGGGTTCCAGCTGGCATCATGGAGGCAGCTAGAACATGTATCTGTTCCTGTCTTACCCCCTTCACCTTTTGTGACTCTTCCTTTGTACAGTTGAGGAAACTGAGGAATAGTTAAGCTCCGGGTCAAACCCAGGTCTACTGCCGCACCAGCCAGCAGTCCTCCCGAGCCCAAGGGAATGGGGCCATTCTCACTGTTGCCAACCCCCAGGAAGAAGGGGGCAGGCCACTCACTCACAGAAGACACTAACAAGCTCACCTGGCTTTCACAGATACGTGTAACAACTGTCTATATGGGTTTATTGACAGAAATCTTGGAATGTAGATCATAGTAAACAATGCCAGTTCTTTGGGGTGGTAATTGATCTCTGCAGTCTGATAAAGTGCTTCATGCATAGAACTGACCGACCCAGCAAAGCACGAGGAAAGGACTCAGAGAGGGATGGTGGCAGCTCCACTGCCCAGGGGCTTCAGAGGTGCTGCGAGCAGACAAAACAGGCTGACAGCCTCTGCTGGCAAGTGCTGTGCTCTGAGGCTTGCTTCAGTGCCCCACAGTGTAGTGGGACCAGCTGGTGCTTTCCAGCCGGCCACCACACCAGGGGAGCTTGGACCTGGTGGTGAGAGTGCAAGTTGGGTCCAGGAAGGGCACTCTGTACTCCAGGCGGCAGGGGTCCTCCGTGCTCACGGTCACCAGCTCACTGCCCAAGGGCCCCACACAACCATCTGAACAGAGTACAGGAGAACAAGCACACCCTCGAGGACCCCTCTGGGTACTCCGGATTCACGGCCATGGCCACAGGTGCGGCTAGCGGGAGCCCCCATCCACCTGCAGGGCCCTGCAGCTGCCAGGACATCCTGCTGTCACTGGATGGCCTCATGTCAGAGTCCAGTGGCCCAGCCAGAACCCTCTGGAGCCTCTCCCTGGCCAATGAGAGCCATGGACTCAGTGGGGCCGGGTGAGGAGCCCAAGCTGCCCAGCGCGGAGAAAGGCTTTGCGTGTCTGCAGGAAGACAGAGCAGTGACACACACTGCCGAGGTGGGGAGAGTCTGAATTTGAGCCACCAGAGAATGGCTCTGCATCTGAGGGAGCGGCCCTGGAGGACAGCCAGCCCCTCCGTGAGCAAGTAGGGGATGGGGGCAGGGGGCCTGGGAAGAGTATTCTCATCCCAAAGGGGCACCAGGAACTCAGTTTAAAAGGGGGCAGGGCACAGCAACATAAGGCAACAAAAGTCCAGCTGTTATGAAAGGCACCCCTCTGCACCCCTTCCTCAGCCCCACCCGCCCTGGTGCTCATGGAGCTGACAATAGTGCTGGCTGCCAGAGAGGTGGGGAGAGGTGCACAAGGCAGAGACGCTCTCCAGCAGGTGGACAGGCGGAGAGGCTGGGCTCCTTCATCTTGCATACAGTGGGGTCAGAGAGTGTGCGCGTGCATGCAGGGACTCGGACACACCAGGGCCTGAGGGTAGTCACTGGAGCTCGTCCCCCGGAATAGTAACACCACGTGCCCAGCTGCCCTGTCACGTATCAGCAAGTCTCTTCACTTTATCAATCTTGTTGCTGACACACACGAGGCACACGCACACATGTACTCACACGTACACACTCAACACACAAGAACGCACACACTTAGGCGCACACATGCACGCACTGTCAGACACCCTCCACATGCGGACTTGTGCACACCTGCACTCACGCACACACAGTCAGCATGACGCCCCCGCACACAAGGACTAGTGCACCACCACCTGCCAGGCGTGCTGGTCAGCCTGATCGACTGTGCCCGCTCCCTGACGAGTTCCATGTCAGCACTGCTGTCTCCTTACCCACGTGCAGGCCTGGCCGCAGGGGACACCCCGTCCTGTGCAGGACCTCAACCCTCCTCCCGCCTGCTCAGCGATTAGACCCCAGAAGCGTCTCCAACCATGTGCCCACCACATCCAAGGCACCCCCGCAGCTCTCCCAACTGCCGTGTGCAGAGCGAAAACAACTCCTCCACCCTGCCCTAGATGTTAGGACAGAAACCCCACTCCGGGAACACCAGCACTTCTCAGCACCAGAGCAGTGAGCTGAAGAACGATGTGGCGAGCATGGCCTCCAGATGGTGTCAGAGCAGGCCGGCCACCCTCTGCAGCTGCACTCAGAGGCCTCAGCAGGCGGGTCCTCACAGATGGGATGCCGCCCCACCTGTCCCCAGGTGGTGGGAATTAAACAGGGACACGCCATTTGGAAATATACTTTAGTGGAGTCGGGGGAGTCCGTGGGCACTAGCAAGGGAGCAGACTATCCTCCTGGGGGGATCGGGGCAGCGTCAGGGCACCGCTCGGTCCAGCAAAGAGGCAGTGCAGCTTGGGCTTCAAGTCGTTCCACACCTTGCTCATCTGAGGAGGAGGAGGAGAAGCATGGTGAGATGGGCAAGCATCCACACAGGTCAGCACGCAGCTGTTCTGTGTGCAAGGCCACACCGGGCACAGGGGCAGGGCACTCAGATCGATCCCAGCCACCAATGGGCCATGTCACCTTCCCAGGCTCCTGTCTCCAGAGGAAAGGGAGATCAGCCAAGACACAAGCTTCCGGAAGACAGGCAGACATGTCCTCCCACACCGGTCCTAACTAGGGGCAGATCCCTCACAGATAATAAGCCCACTACAGGGCAATGGGAACGAGGGAACAGGAGCAGGTCCTCAGCCACTGCACCCAGCACCAGGGCACAGACGCGCTCCGCATGGACGTCAGGAAACATCACCACTGGTCCGTTCCCACCGCTGTCTGTGAGCCTGGTCACCCGCCTTCCAGGTGGCGCAGCAGGTCAAACACCAAGACGACATTCACCAGACAAGTAGCAACAGGAGTGAACTGGGTGCCGGCATCACACAAGCCACAGGCATGAGGATGCGGGAAGCTGTGTGGTGGGGGTGCTGGGCCAGCGTCTGTGGAACTGGGGTCCACATGATGACATGGAAGCTGAGGGTGGCCCAGGAACAGTCTGGTAACCCAAAGTCCCCAGAACCCAAGTGACAAGAACCACAAGAGCTAGACAACAACAGGCTTCCTAGAACGAAGGAGGTGACAGCACGCCCACCATCACACATTGTGTGTTCTCTGTCACCACCGGGCATCGCAGTGCCCAAATCCTTCACCTAAGACTTCTCCACCTGTGACCACTCACCACTCACGCAGTCTTGCCTCCTAACACTCATCTCTGTCGCTTCCTCTCCAGCCCACTGCCGCTGCCTCGGCTTAGGCCTGCCATTCCCAAACTCTGCCTGCAGGCACCCCAGCACCATGGCGAGCTCACAGGGGCTGTGGGGCACCTTAAACTTTCCAGGGAAACTTGGCAACATCTGCCAGACATGACACCAACTACCACTGTTATCAAGAGTTGAAAACTCAATGAACAAAACTGTTACACGTTTCATTAGACTTCGGAATACCGTGAAAAAGTTACTGAGGCAGGAAGGGCGCCATAACCTCAAAGAAGTATGGGAGGTTTGGCCCAAGCTGTCTCTGTTTCTCACCTGGTCCCACAGTCCTCATGTCCCAGAACCCAGGCATCTGCTGAAAGTCCAGACCCTGCATCCTGGCCCCAAAGCCAGACTCTGCATCCCGGCTTCTGCATTGTCCGCTAACACCCCCGGGGGTGCTGCCCAGCCTGACCCAAGTTAACACTGGCCACTGACCGAGTCAGGTGCGATTATCCCCCCATGGGTTTGCTGGTCTCCACGTCTAACCCTTGGCCCAGCCGCCACAGCGTCCTGTGCTCCGTGTGAGCGAGCTATGGGTCTATGTCCGCGCCACACACTGCCAACAGAAGGCTCTCCTAGCCCTCCAGGCAGCAGTGCCTGCCAACTCTCCAGGTAGCCCACCCCCACCCCCACTGTTCCCTGTGTACCTTACAACCCTCCCACTGGGTCAGAGCCCTCTCTTTCTCTGGCCGCCTGCCCTCTCTGGGTTTCCCACTAATCTGGGCAGTCCCTGTTGGCAGGCTTGGTGTCATTCATCCCTGCTCCTGGCACCAACCACAGAACTGGCACAAACTGGGCATCACATTCATCCATCACCCACAGCATCCCTGGGCCAACCATGGTTGGTGGCAGGGTCAGACACCCCACCATTCCTCAGAGAGAAAAGTTGAGCCCCCACATGCAAGCCGCCACATCCCTGGCTGGCAGGCATCCAGAGCCACACGGCTATCACGCCATCTCTGGCTTTTGCTCTCCCTTCTCAAATGGCAACACGCGTGTCCCTGACCAGATGTCCCAGAATGCTGTGTGGCTGGCCCTGGCTGAAGAAATACTTGGAAAGTATTTCTCAACCAAGCCCTGAAACAGCCCTGATGGGCCCAGAGGTGAGGGCGGAGATGGGGCTGACACAGTCTGAGTTGTCTCAGGGGGCTGGAATTGGCCCCCAGCAGATACGTCCTCTCCTAGGATGTGGCTATGCTCCCCGCACAGCCAAGAGGCCTCTGTGGTAACTGAAAAACCAAGGAACCCAGGACAGCATCTCCGAACCCAGAGGTGTCAGGGAGAACCAAGCAAGGGTCACCTTCCAAGTATTTCTTCAGCCCAGGCCAGCCACAAAGCATTCTGGGACATCTGGTCAGGGACATGCGTGTTGCCATTTGAGAAGGGAGAGCAAAAGCCAGAGACGGCGTGATAGCCGTGTGGCTCTGGGCGCCTGCCAGGCAGGACTATCGCAGCTCGAAATGTCTCGGGGCCACTCACAGTGTTTCTTTTCATCAGAAGGAAGCTGGCCAGGGGCTTTCAGAAAAACATCTGGTCTGTGGGACTGCCCAAATCAAACCCAATCCCACCCTCTCTTCCTCACAACCTTGGAGTCCAGGAATTCCATATGCTTTACCTCTGACTTCTTGAATTCCTCCAGAAAACCAGAAATGGTTTCTTTGTAGCCCCTTCTGCCCCCACCCCCAAGAATCACAGGGACAACCTCACAGCTAGAATGCTGGCTACACATGAGACCCGAGGTTGGAACGAGAACCATGCTGTGAAGTCCCACGCTCACCCCATCTCTGTTAGCTTTCTAAATAACCTTTCGGGGTCAGTAGCAAGGGCTGCTCAACTTGAAGGAAGGGCAGCTGGGCAAGAAAGGCCCCGGCCAGGAAGGTGGGAGCAGGGGGAGACTCACCTCCTTGTGGCCCTGGATCTGCGAGTTGACAAAGGCCCCGAGGATGTGGGAGGTGAGCGGCAGATAGGCATGCACAAGCTGCGTCTCCTGGTGCAGGCAGTACAGGGAGAAGTGGTTGCGCAGCTCCATTGTCTGGATGGCGTTCTCTTGCTGCAAAGGAAAGAGACTCTCTGTTCCTGGTCCAACAGGCGAAGGGCACGTAGAACACCTGGGCCCAGGCTCAAGTCCCTTCTCTCAAGGCAACCCTTAAAACTGAGCATTTTGAAGGCATCAAGCGTTTTGAAGGTGCCAAGTGGGGTGAGAACCAGGGAAATGGACTAAAATGAGCTGGAAAATGCATCACTTAGGTGTCTGTGTCTCCACTTATACCCACATGTGCTCTCAGGCCCAGCCCTGCTACTGGGCACCCAGCAGTCTACATTCTAGAAGGCATCCAGCCAACCACGTAGACCCCATCCCCCAGGCCGACCCCGGGCCACGCCCCTCTCTGCCCCCTAGAACCACCTCCACGATGCGGGACTCCAGCTGCTCCACAGACTCAGGCTCCCGGCTGTGCGCGGCACTCATCATCTGCCGCTTCATCAAACTGTACTTGTGCAGTGCCCGCTGGTGCTTGTGCAGCACGCCCTTCTCGTGCCGCTCACACAGGTCCTAGGGGAGGGCCACAGTCACCCATTGAACCCAGCCCACAGCCCAGCCCACGCCCTCACCCACCCTCCCACTGAGCCTTCTTTAGACTCCTGCCACCCCTCCTTCGGCAGGAAAACCCCCTGAAAGGAGACAGGCAGGAGGAGGTGGGAAAGATTGTGTGGGAGGCGTGTGTACCCGCAGAAAACAGCTTAAAAGTAAACGCTATTAAGGCCCTGCAGTATGAGAAGGCTTTTCAGAGCTTTTCTTCTTTAGAAAACAATTTGGACACCCCCACTCACTTCATGCTCAGAAAAATGCTCATGAGCAGCAGCATGGGTGTTCAGGCCCCACGTCAACCCATCAAAAGGTACATCAGCCTAATCTGACACACTCATTCACACAGTGCCTTACAGTGCAAATCCACACCCAGCACAAACCAAAAACCACAGAAAACAAGCTCAGTTTAGAAGGGAAAAGAAATAAGCAATGGACACAGTAATTTTTCATTTAAAAAACAAAAGCGTAACTAGGAGGACTAGGATGTTTCCGGACCTCAGACTTTAAACGCTATCCCATTTCCAGAAAGCTAGTGTCCTTCCAGAGCCCCTGGGTAGCGCAAATGGTTAATGTGATCAGCTGCTAACCAAAAGGTTGGAGGTTCGTGTCCACCCAGAGGCGCCTCAGAAGAAAGGCCTAGTGATCTACTGAAAAAGCAGCCACTGAAAAGCCTGTGGAGCACAGTTCTACTCTGACACACATAGGGTCACCAGGAGTTAGAATCAACTCAACGGCAGCAGGCTTGGTGTTTTGTATTTAGTGTCCCTCCAGGAGAAGGAAGATCATTCCGCCTCCAAGAGGGCGATGCACTGGAATTCACCTGGGCACCCACCTGGACACCCACCTGGACACCCACCTGGACACCCACCTGGACACCCTCCAGTAACCTCAACCAGAAATACTGTGAACAATACTAGCCACAGAGTCATAGAGCTAGGACTTCAGGTGCCCCCTTGCTGCCACCCTCATCAACAGAGGAACCTTCTGGAAGGCCCTGTGGTGCCTGGCCAGCCCCCCTTGAGCCTCGGGGGCCACACAGTCCACCCTGCCATCTCAGGAAGTTTCCCCCACTGAGCTGAGGCATGGTGTCTTGGAACCCCACCCGCTGGAAGAGGCAGCCTCACTCTTCCCTGCATCATCCATCCTACAGTTGGAGAAAGCAATGGTGTTAGCAACCCTGACCCAGATCACACCCCTACTCTCAGAGCCACCCGGTGACCCCACGCCAGAGAGATCACAGCCCGTCCCAAGCCATCTCCCTCGCAGCACTGGCTTCCCTCCTCCTCCTCCATTCCCTCGGAGTTACCCCTGAAAGACACAAAATCATTGCCCAAAAGTCAGCCCCCCAAACACAAAGCAGCCAGACTCACCTTGTAGGACTGGAGCAGATCCAGGAAGAGGTTCAACTTCTCCACCACATCACTCTCCTCCTGTTTACCCTGGAAACAAGGGCTCGTTAACCAACACACGACACACGGCCACAGCCCCCCGCCACCGACCAGCCCTGAAGAAAAGCCTGAGCCTGCACCCCGCAGAATGGCCCCGCAGAAGAGCCCCAAGACGGCCCTGTGGAAAAGCCCGAGCCCCGCAGGACAGCCCTGCAGAAGAGCCCGTGCCCTGCAGGACGGCCCCTCCAGGCAGACAGAGAAGCCCAAAACCCAGCCATCTCGTGGCCTTGGTCTCAGCAAGGATAGCTGTCCACTTCAGCTTCAGTTGCTCAACACTGGGTCTGCTTTCTAAGACCACATCGTGCCCCACCCACGTCAGGGGATCTGTGGGGCCTCAGACCCCCTAGCAGCTGTGCTCAGTGCCACATGTAAGTACAGTTTCTATCTGGAGCTGGGAGCTGAGTTAATTAAAGCAGAGACAAACGGAAGGGAGCTCGCTGGAACTGATGGGGAGGCACTACTGGAGCGACTTCAGTCAAAGGGAAAGCAGCAGGATGCAGGGGAACAAGGGGACAGAGCCTGCAGCCATGGAGGGACAAGCAAGATGAAAGCCAGAAGTTGAGGTGAGTGAACAGAGATGTTAGTGCTCAGGCTGATACAAGGAGATGGAAGGACTACCTATGGCCACCTGCAGACTGGTGCAGTGGGGGAGGGACAGGGAACCAGCTCTCTGCTTCCATACCCAGAGCACAGCTCTGTGCAGGCGACAGAGGGATGGAGACAGACTGACGGACACACCAGGAGCCTACCACGGGCATCTAAGTCACAGAAGGCTCTGCCTGTGGGGTGGCCCGAGGGTAGTGGGGACCCCTGGAATATCAGAAAAACGAGCACCACCGTTGGATCTCCCATGGGATCCTTGGGACAACTCCCACAAGGCAGCCTGGCCAGGCAGACACCACCCCAGGTCCACCCTGCCCCACGTGTGTGCACCCAGAGCAGCACCAGGAGGCGGATGCACAGACCCACACCATCCACACCAGTCCAGCACCAAGGCTTGAGCCACTCCTAGGTTATAAACATCAGGTCACTTCTAGAAGTGTCCACTGACCCAGAGACCAGCTCTGTTGGAGATAGTGATGGCAGAAGCAGGGACCATGTCCTCCCTGTGTCCTGTGGAGGGCAGAGGTCGGGGGCCATGTCCCCCTGCGCCCCCATGCCCTGCTCCCGGATCAGACAAATGCAGACCTGGGAGGCTGACCACACCCTTTATGGTCACCATGGCAACAGTCAGGACCAGTTTCCTCAGAACATCTCCATGTTATACTGTGGTCACCACCTCTGGCCTTTCCACGTGCCCCGAGGGCACCAGACACCCCCAGAGAACCTCTCCCCCAAGTGCAGTGCGGCTCCTCAGGGAGGTTGTGCTCCCTCTCACCCAGTGTGCCGACTGTACCAACATGGAAGTTCATCACGGACTGCACAGCAGACTAACAGCCAATGAGGCCCAGGTGGTGGTAGTGATGGCCCAGGTAAGCACCAGTGGCAACCCAAATAGGTGCTGGTGACAGCCCAGGTGGGTGCCAATAAGGCCAAGGTGGGTGGTAGTGACAGCCCAGGTGAGTGCCTGTGGCAGCTCCCGCAGGAGGCAGAGACTGAAAAGTTTCATGGTAACATGAGCTCAGACTCTCAGGTAGCCCTGGGAAGCCCCTTGGACACCAGGCCTCAGGCCAGCTGGCTCAAAGCCTCCCCCAGCCACACCATCCTACAGTCATGGCCAACCCATCAGTATTGCCTGGAAGTCACATAAAAACGACAGCTGTTAAAAACTCGGAAAGGAAAACCCCAGGAGGCCACAGGTACCCGTGTCCCCACCTTACTGGGCAGAAGGGAGGCTCCATTCTTGCCCTAACGGAAGAGGGGCCTTGGGCTCCTTCCTTCTCGTGTAATTTTCTGCCAAGTCCAGTTTCTGGCTCAGTGTCACACGGGACCCTAAGCCATCAATGTGTCTGCTTTCAACCAAGGCAATTGTCAAGGTGCCGTGAGGAAAACGGCCCTGACTCCTGGGCTCACTGGTCTTCTATCGATTTCCTACAACTCGAATACTCCCAAGTCCAGCGAGGTACACTCAGGAAACAGGAATCCCCCAGGCACTAACTTTCAAAGCGGCATTTATGAAACATCAGAGAGCCGCAGTACTGGGAAGAACCTCAGACTACAAACAGTGACCGTCTCAGATGCCCAGAACCTCTCTCCCTCTTCAAGCTGGAAACACAAGAATTCAGATGCAATCAGAAGGGACTTTTGAAATCATCTCATCTAGAGATTTTTACCCTCTGCTCTGCAGGAGCCTGGGGCGGGGTGGGGTGGGGTGGTTCTTGGACCCCCGCTGGGGGGCTACCTGCGAAAGGGCATTGAGTAGGGTAAGGGTCACGGCCCCTGCCACCTGAATTGCCTCATTTTACGTTTCAGAGACAGAAGCGCTCTAAGGTTTCAATGGGTTCTTTAAAATGTTTACAAATGACCTAGTCAGCCCCCTTATTTGTTTGCTTAGTTTTATAGATTTATTTTCAAAGGGCAAAACGGGTAGACAATGTAAATACAAGCCCAACGGAATTGCTCTGTCAAAGTCAGCAGTGATGCCGACCTGCCTTCTCATTTCCAGACGTTCGTCAGAGTCAACTGAAATCTTCTCTCAGGGAAGAAAGGTGGCCGGATGTTTTATTCATATATGTCCTTCTTATCTGCGATGTAACCTACTATTTCTCGTGGACGCATTAATTTTTTTCACATCCATATCAGAAATTTCAAACCCAAATTCATCCTCCATGGCTGTAATAATCTCTACTTGGTCCAACCTGTCTGCCCAGGTCCTTCATGAAATGGGAATTTACCACAAGCTTTTCTGGGTCAATCTTATCGTAGAGTTTCAAGACATATGGGACACAGCCCTTGACTCCCTCTAACGCCAAAGGGCGAGTGTCGCTATACTGGCAGCACACTGTGTAACTCTACCTGGAACCTGCAGGAGCACCGAGGCCAGCTACAGAGCCCCGGGTCTCATCCGCATCCCCAGAGACCAGTCACCTGAGGGAGGTCACAGCACAGACGTCACAAAAAGCCAGCACAGGCTGCCCCAAGCACCCTGCCTTTCTGTCCTGTCAGACCCCACCACTGCACCCTCGGTCCTCCCTCCCTGCCTTGGAGAAGTGGCCCTCACAGCCCTTGGGATGGAGAGGACCCGACACCTGTTAGGAGTCACATCAACACCCCCTAAATCCGGATCCTAAAGGGAAGACGTGCATCATAGGAGCAAAAGAGGAAGGAAACCCAGGACTTTCAAGCCAGTAAAAGGCCAAATTCCCTTTTCAGCACTAAAAGACATCCTAGGCACCTGAGACCGAATCTCCAGTGTGAAAAGGCCCCAAGTCCCCGGCAGGTGGGTCGGCCAGCATCCCTGTGGTTGGGACATGCTGGCCGCACAGCTGTGCTAAGGGGCGGGTCAGCCAGCGTTCCTGTGGCCCCCCCCAAACTGATCACGTCAGTTCACTAGGGGGTGGGTCGGCCAGCATCCCTGCGGCCCCCAACACACTGGCCACATCATTTCACTACGGGGAGGGTCATCCAGCATCCCTGTGGCCCCATTGAACTGGCCACACCAACTTACTGAGGGGCTCAGAGCCTCGGGTAGGCAGCAAGGCTTTAAAAGTGATCTAATTTTAATGTTTTTAATTACCTGCTTGCAGTTTAAAGACCATTTCCCCAAGAATCAGGCAGCAAGCTCTCACCCTGGCAATTATGTAAGAGTTCCATAACACAGGAGCACCCAGCTGACCCTTTAAATGTGGTGGTAAACACTGTACCCTCAAATTAATCCCAAATGATGACAAGATTCTCTGCAGGTTCCTAAAAATAGCACCTGCTGTACAGCAGCAGCACTTCCTTAGGTTAATTGGGTATCTGGGGTGAAAGGCGGAAGGGGCGCTCAGGCTCGGGAAGCCCCATTATCATTCTGAGTTAGCGACCACAAGGCCAAATACAAGCTGAGGAGGACAGCAAACGAACACGCAGGAGGAGCCTGGAAATTCTGAGATCACGTTTTCAAGGACAGGCTGTATCCCCTAACCTCAGCAGAGTCGGCTCTCGGGAGACCAGAAGCAAGTTCGTTTTTGTCATTGGCAATCATCTCACGGGACCTCACCCGGAACAGGTGGGGATGTGCTGTCCCGACCCTGGAATCAGCTGCTCGCTCGCTCAAGACCCAGAACCCTAAGGTAAATGGAAAGAGGGCACGCTCCCAAACACCCACATAATGTTCCTGGGGCAGCTGCATGTCAAGAGCACGCTCACTCACCTGTTGTGCGGCCTTGTCAGCCAGCAGTGCAAATTCCACAGACAGGCCTTTTAGCGCCTGCTTCAGGGACCCCCACGTGCTGCTGCTCAGAGCAGCCCAGGAGGGGAGTGGGGTCGTGTCGGACCCTAGAGCACTAGGGAAAACAAAACAAAAGCCTTGAAGCTCACGACATAGCCCTGCCACCAACACTCCACTCTAAACACCAAGCCACCCCAAGGCCACGTCCACATCTTCCCTCTAGCCCCTGCTTCCGAAAGAGTACCCCCTGCTGTGGAGTCGATTCCAACCCATGATGACGCCATGTGTTAGAGCTCCACAGGGCTTTCACGGCTGTGATCTTTACAGACAGGAGCCCTGGTGGCGCAATGAAAGGTCAGCGGTTAGAACCCACTCAGCAGCTCTCTGGAAGAAAGACCTGGTGAACTGCTCCCGTAAAGATTAGTCGTGGAAACCCCACGGGGCAGTTCTACTATGTCGCATAAGGTTGCTAGGAGTCAGAATCAACTCAGTGGCACAAAGCGACAAAAACAACAATCTACAGAAGCAGATTGCCAGGTCTTTCTTCCGTGGTGCCACTGGGTAGGTTCAAACCACCAACCTTTTGGTTAGTAATTGAGCGCAAACCGTTTGCGCTACCCAGGGATCTTCACTCGAAGGGAAGTCTGTGGGAAAACCTGGGAGTCTATCAGAAATGCATGGTCCCAGGCCCTGACCCAAACCCACGGAGTCAGTTCCTCATTTCAACAAGATCCCAGGAGGTGTGAGTGTGAGAAGTGCAATTCTAGAGTTTGCTGAAGAACACAGAGTCCTGGGCTGGGAGTTCTGCCTCCCCTTCAGGGAAAGCAAGCTTTAACAGCCCCTGATCTGCTCTTTTTCTTTTTAAAGTCTAATCCTGGCAACGAGAGAAATGCCATATAAGAAATTGGCTGGTGAGCAAATCCTAAACATTTTCTGCCTGATTACACTCAAATTCTCCATCTTTTTTACTTTAAATGTGATCATTAATTTGCCTAGCCCGTTTTCTTCCCGTTTTGGAGTGAAACAGGTCAGAATGACGGTAATTACAGTAAAATGCAAGGAGCCTTGGTGGTGCAAGGGTTAAGCGCTCAGCTGCTCACCAAAAGGTCGGCAGTTCCAACCCACCCAGGGATCCAGGGGTGAAAGACCTGGTGATCTGCTCCCATAAAGATTACAGTCTAGAAAACCGTAAGGGGCAGTTTTCCGTCACGTGGGGTCACGTTACTGAGTTGAAAATCGACTCGACAGCATTGGACAACCACAACAGTAAAACGCACTTTCTGCTCCAAGTCCACAACCAAAGCCTAAAGATTCTCCCCCCGGCTAACCAACCCCCATTGTTGTTGTTAGCTGCCATTGAGTCGGCACTGACTCATGGCCATGCCATGTATAACAGAATGAAATGCTGCCTGGTCCTACGCCATGTCCATGATCTTTGGATACGATGGAGCCCATTGTTGAGGCTACTGTGTCAATCCATCAACCAAGCCGCACCGAAACTGCCGGGCCACCTGCCTTAACTCCTTCCCAAATATGAGAAGGTCAGCAGCATTGTCAATGGCCCTGGAAGCAATTCGCTCGGCCCGGTCCCGGAGCTTGTAGAAGCTGTTGTAGATGTTTCGAATCAGTTCTCGGCTTGCTGCAAACTGGACCTGGATGTCGGCTGGGAGGAAGTCCTGGTGGGACGAGAAAGGAAGACGACGCTGAATGCTCCTAGACGGGAAACACCTCTCAGAAAACAGCAGTGACTCCCCCCAATGGTGACAACTCCACCTGTCTGAGCAGCAGAGCTAGGGTGTATTCAGACCACCCTGTGAGCTCCCTTCTCTGCTCTCCAGCGTCTGCCCTGAGCTTCTCTTCCTGTCCACCATCACTTATACATCATAAATGCTAAGCTCAGTGATCCCATGAAAATACAACTATAGTGTTCAGTAAAATTTGATCAAACCGGTATTAGTACCAGTTGCCATGAGTCAGCCCTGACTCACGGCAACCCCATGTGTGTCAAGAGTAGAAATGTGCTTCATGGGGTTTTCAGTGGCTAATTTCTTGGAAGTAGATCACCAGGCCTTTCTTTTGAGGCACCTCTGGGTGGACTCGAACTTTGAACCTTTAGGTTAGCAGCCGAGCATGTTGACTGACTGCAATACCCAGGGACTCCAATCAAATTGGAGAGCCTGTCAAAAAAAAAGCTCAAATAATAGTAATAATCTTCAAGCTCAAAATAATGAATGAAAATTCCTCGAAGACACTCCACTTGAGAGGGGCCTCCTGTATTCCTCACTTATTCCCAAAAATATTTTTCAAGCTTTGTTGTTGGTGGTTGCCACTGAGTCGATTCCAAGTCACGGCAACCCCATGTAACAGAGTAGAACTGCTCCATAGGGTTTCTTGTCTATAATCTTTACAGAAGCAGATCGCCAGACCTTTTCTTCTGTGGCGCCACTGGGTGGGTTCGAACTACCAACCTTTAGGTTAGCAGTTGAGCGCAAACTGTTTGAGCCACCTAGGGACCTTCTTAAGAGCTTTAATACTAACTTATTCTAACTGTCGATGCTTACAGAACAGAAAGCGTTAGGGAATAAAATGAATGTAAATGATTATTTCTGGGTGGACAAACAGTTTAAGGAAAAAAACCAACAAAACTATTAAGTAGCTACCTTAATCCTTTTTTGAAAAAAGACAGGTCAAATTAAATATTTTAAAAATAGACAAACGCAAAAATCAATCCCCTGAAGCCTGAAAAGCCAGTGATGCCAGCTCATGTCCATTCTGAGGCACAGGAGGCAGCCCACCCTGGCAGGGGGGGAGCATGGTGGGCTGGGGTCATATGAAGGCCAGTTCACACCTGGCCCTGGTACTCAGAAGCTTCGGACCTGGGCAAACTTGGGACAGCCTCTCTGAGCCCGTTTCCTCATCTGTAAAATGGGCGTAACATCCCCTATGTTTCAGAACAGTTGTGAGAGTTAAACGAGAAAAACATGCAATGGGTCTTAGTGTACTCCTGGCACAACGTGGAGGCAAAATAAATATTATTAACTATAACTTTAAACCTTAAACAAAAAATATCCCCTGAAGTCTTCTTTATACCAAACAATACCAAAAAAACCAAACCCGCTGCCGTCAAGTCGATTCCGACTCATAGTAACCCTACAGGACAGAGGAGAACTGCCCCACAGGGTTTCCAAGGAGCAGCCGGTGTATTTGAACTGCCGACATTTTGGTTAGCAGCCACATGCTTAACCACTATGACGAAAAAAAAACTCGTTGCTATCAAGTCAATTCCGACTCATAGTAACCCTACAGGACAGAGTAGAGCTGCCCCACAGGGTTTCCAAGGAGCACCTGGTGGAGTCAAACTGCCGACCTTTTGGTTAGCAGCTGTAGCTCTTAACCACTACGCCACCACCACAATAGTTTAGCTTAAATAGTAAAGAACATCTGCCTTCAGCATTGTGCTCTTTTAAAAACCTATCTACTTAGAATCAAATTGACAACAGCAACTGGGAAAATTAGATAGGAACCTTAGGGGGCAGTGAGTTTATGTTAATGGGGAGGAACAATTCAGAAAAAGAGGGTGGGAATGGTTGCTCAACTCAAAGAATGTCATCAGTGTCAATGAATTATACATGTAGAAATTGTTAAACTGGTATATGTTCTGCTATGTACATTCTCAACAACAAAAAATAAGTAAAATAAATTATCAAGAGATATATTATTAACCATTGAAATTACTGCTGCTGTGGGTCAGAGCAGAAGTGACAGTCAAACATTACAGACACACCTTGGCTCGAGTGGCCAGTTTGCAGTGCAGGAACTCATCGCCGACACACTGGGCTGACTCCTTTAACCTGTTCTGCACATCCTGCAAAGGGAGAGAAACCACCACCACCTCACCTTCCACCATCGCAAGAAAGCAGATGTGAGGCCAATTAGTCCATAACAAGCAGGATACGGTCAAGAGAACAACGTGCTTTCACATGTATTCCATCATCTTTTAACTGTCTCTGCTTAGATTTCTTGTTATTGACCTTAAATTTCAGAGTGGTCTTGGGGTGGAAAGCCTGACTTAACAATAGTTAACATTACAGAACCTTCAACCCTGGAGCAGAGAACTCCCCAGAAACACGGCGACTCCCACTGTAAACCAGGGACAAGGTCTCTGCTCCACACAGACAAACGTCCTAACATGCAAGCAAACATCCTAACATGCAGCTATTTGTGCCTGAAGGAAATTTAGAATCTCTGAGATGCCTCACAGAGTCCAAATTCTCTCGCTTCAGCAAAAGCGATAATGGCCACACCTGCATCCCTCCCTAGCTCCTTTCCATCTGTTCTGAGCTGCACACAGCTCACAAGCCCGACCACATTTCTACTCTGGCAATAACGATCTCTGTTCCGCAGGCGCCTGTCCACCCCCTGGGCTTAGAAGATCTTGGCTCCTGCTCCAAGGAAGACCTTGGTGGCAGGTCATAAGAGACATTTGCTGAACATCTAGCCTGGGTCCAGTAGGAGACCCACAGGACTGGCAGATGTCCCCCAACCCTGCCTCCGGGGTGTCACAGAGTGATAGCTAATCTTAGAGAGGTCAAAGGCCCTGCTGTTGCTCAGGAAATGGAGGAAACAGGAAGCAAGACTGGTGCTGATACTGTGTGGCTTGCACTGCTGGGTTGGTGGCAGGCCTTGGGTCCCTTCCCAGGTTCCCAAAGTGGCGTCTCAGGAAAGGTCCCCACCGTATCTGAGGTGAACTCAGGACCTTGACTCCACCGACAAAGTGCTCACTGCTGGATCCCCATCCCTCTATCTAACCCATGATGGGATTACAAACTCTTCTCCCTCCCATCAGAGCCTGCGGTGAGTGGGCCCAGGGTCTACTCACAGGGAGAGAACCGCAGCTTCCCCCTGTGCCCCACGTAGAGCCTGGCAGATTCTGACAGACAGACATCTGTCTGGAGTAGAGTCCACACCCTCCTCCTCACCCAGGAACAAGAGCTCGGCCTCAGTTTCTCGGCAGAACAGCCTGACTCTCATTAAGACAACAGGATAGCAGACTGGAGAAGGAAGTCGCCACGCTGAGTTCTAATTGAAGTTAATGTACATGAACACATTACTCTCCAGAACACTAATCTATACGGCAGTTCTGTGAAGGAGACTAAGCTGGTTTTTCCAATGGTATTTCATCAGTGTTGCCCCCCCCCCTTTTTTTTTTAAAGTACATACTTACTTGCATCTGGAGCCTCCAGAACCTTCAAAAACCTTCCAAACCACGCAAAAACCAAACCAGTTGCCGTCGAGTCAATTCTGACTAATGGCAACCCCATGTGTTACAAAGTAGAACTGCTCCATAGGATTTTCTTGGCTGTACGGGAGCAGATCGCCAAGTCTTTCTCCTGAGGTGCCACTGGGTGGGTTTGAACCGCCAACCTTCCGGTTAGTAGTTGAGCGCAAACCATTTGTACCACCCAGCGACATACCAAACCATGACATGCTATGTATACTAACTCTAAATCCCCACAGCGGCTGCACTGCCAACCCACGTCCATGGGAATATACAAAATCCTGCATGGTCAAACCCCAGACCACCTCTCAAAAATCACATTCCACCTGCTATTTAGAAAGACAGTAAATCTTATGTATGTCAGTCACATATAAAATAAATTCCTTCAGGGCAGCAAAACAAGAGAAACGAGGCAGGAGGGTAGAAAGGAAACAAGAAGAAATTTAAGAATGGAAATCAGAGCTGGAGGAACCTCAGACTCTACCACACAGAACGAGATGCAGATTTTTGTCAGACTCACAGAACCGCTGAAGGAGAGAAACAGCTTCAGGACCACGTCCTCGGAAAAGGGGGGGTGCCGGGCCACCAGGTTGATGAAGCGCTTCAACGCCCTCCTCCTGGCTTCAATGAACTCTCTGTCGGCTGCAGGAAGAGCACAGACGTTATGGATTGAATTGTGTCCCCCAAAAATGTGTGTTGTGGATCCTGGCCCCTACACCTGTGGTTGTAATCCCACTTGGGAGGTGGGTTTTCTTTGTTATGTTAATGGAGCAGTATTAGTGTTGGGTGTGTCTTAAATCAATCTCCTTTGAGATATAAAGCAGACTGAGCAAGCAACCAAGCAAGCAGAGATGGGGGAAGACATCATGGCACATGAAGATCACCAAGGAGCCAAGGAACAAACTGAAGAGATAAGGACCTTACCCCAGAGCTGACAGAAAGAGACTTCCCCTAGAGCCAACACCCTGGTTTCGGACTTCTAGCCTCCTGAACAGTGAGAAAATAAATGTGTTTGTTAAAGTCACCCACTTGTGGTATTTCTGTTATAGCAGCATTAGATAACTAAGGCAACAGGTCACCACACACAGGCCTGGAGAGAGGCTCGGGGTGTGACATCTTCCACCCTGAGACGGTGCCCCAAGCATTTCAGGAATGGAGCTCACAGTGCCCCACACAAGCTGGTGGAGGACTTGGGGCTGGGATACTGCCAGACAACAAACCCATTCAAACAGGCCATAGAGGAGAGGGCTGCAGAGCCCCCATTCCACATCCTGCCCCCACAAACCTGGCCGGCCAGGAACTTCCCAGGAAAACACGGATCCTACTGGTTTTGACCAACAGTCTTGGGACCAAGTTTCATTCCCAGCTTTCATCCTAATTTACAGCCATCTTCTGTGACCCCTTTCCGGCACTTCTCTCTAGGAGCAAGTAGGTTCTGCTACAAACGTACATTAACTCGGTTTTCCTGTTCACATCACCTGTCACTCACTTTGTAATGGATTCAACTACTAATTGCTTTCATTCAGGTTAAAGGAGCCCTGGTGGCTCAACAGTTAAGCACGTGGCTACTAGCCAAAAGGTTGGTGGTTCAAACCCACCCAGGGGCTCCGAAGCAGAAAGACTTGGTGATCTGCTCCCATAAAGATAATAGCCTAGGAAACCCTACAGGGCAGTTCTGCTCTGTCACATGGGGCCACTAGAAGTCGAACCAGACTTGATGGCACTCAACAACAACAATATTCAGGTTAAGTGTTTTTCCCTTCGAGGGGAAAAAAAACTATGTTGATTCATTAAGGGTATATATTTTAAATATATTTTTTAAAAGTATTTCTACTGTGGAAAATATATATGCAACAAAACATTTGCCATTTCAGCATTCACATGTACAGTTCTGTGACACGGATTATGTTTATCATGTTGTTCAACCATCACCAGTTTACAAATTTTTCCGTCATCCTTAACAGAAGCTCAGTGTCCCCTAATAAAATACCACTCATAAGTTACTGAACAATACAGTTGGATGAGCTCCCCCCCCCCGCTTCAAGACCTCCAGGCACCTAAGAAAGGCTGCACTTTCAGAAGTGCTAAATAGCACGATTGTTGTCAGGTGCACCTAATCAAGTCCGACTCATAGCACCCCATGTGACAGAGTAGAACAGCCCCATAGGGTTTCCTGGGCTGTAATCTTTACAGGAGCAGATCACTTGGTCTTTTCTCCCGTGGAGTCACTGGGTGGGTTCAAACTACCAACCTTTTGGTTAGCAGCCAAGCATTTAACTGTTGTGCCACCAGGGCTCCTAATAGCACGACTGTTTGTCTGCATGCATTGTCTCCAGGTGCTAAACATTGAACCACACTCAATACATTCTGGTGCCTGAGTCAAGTAACCGTTCACTTGCCCCTGCACATGTTCTCAGCGCTCCTGCCCAGAGCATTCTGTCTGCCCTTCAATGGAATATGAAGAGTATACCACAGTGCTCACCTGGTACAAAGGGAAAACTGTAAGATTTACTAGATTCTAACTAATCAGGAACCAATGATAAAAGAGGCAAAAGTATTTATGTACACTCTGAAGAGCATTTGGAATGCTGAAAATGGTCTCAAATCTCAAGCTATTTCCCCCATTCAAGGGCACAGTTACTTTGAAATTGCTGGGAAAATGGTGGCCAGTCCATTTGTCAGCTTTGGGCACTCACCAAAGCATGGAGTTTTATCTAGGATTTGAGAAGAGGATCATGGGAGAGAGGGTTAATAAGAGTCTGTGCTCTGGGACACTGGGAGAGACAGAACATTCTAGAAGGGACTCAGGTTATCTCTGAGCCTCTCACCCAGCCAAGGCCCTCTCCATGAGGCAATGAAGAGCGGATTAGATTTTCTACCTCACATGTGTGTTCTCTTCCCTGTGTGGCCTGATGCTATGCAGTACCCACTGCCAAACCCGCATCACTCTGTGAAGCAGGCAAAGCAAACTGTCAGTCATGGGGACAGAAAGGATGCCCAGTGACGACTCCCCCGACCCCCCCCCATAAGCTCTCATAAGTCTGACCCCTGGGGTGCTTTTCTTCACACCTGTACAGCGGGAACGTCTCCACACATCAGGTATCAAGGTGGACTGAGGGTGCCAGGTGACAATCCCTTTTCTGTACCAGATCTGGGCTCTAGGCCACAGCTGACCCCAGGAGGGACAGAGGGCTGGTGCTGCACTGCAGACCACACCTGCCTTCACTGCATCCAGGAGGAAGGTGGAAGGCTGGTGGCGAGCCAAGAAATCACCTGGTCTACAATGGGATCTACCGTTGAGCCAAGACCTCAGCTTCTTGGCAGGGAGCTCGTCCCAAATCCCACAGCCTGCAGCAAACCGCCTTACCTCCAAGCATCCTCTTGGGTGGAAGGGCTGGCACCATGCGATACGGAAACTTGTGCAGTAGCATCTCGTGGAAGACCACAAAGTCATTGTACCGTCTATACACAGAGGACTGGAAACGCTGCCAGGAGAAGGGGGCTGACATCAGAAACCATGGTGACTCATTACTTCCCCTCACCTCCTCTTCCTCCACTAAGTAATATCACCAAATGCCTAATCTCCTCTCACCAAAAGGAGAATGCCTGTAACTCCCTAGTGTTTAGTAATACATCTTTTCAACTTTGTATCGCTCTTATTTTCATGTTTAACTGACATCGTGACTCTTCTGAAAAAGACAAGACTCTTTATAGTTTTCACCTGCTCAGGTGGGCACCTGAAAGTCCCTGCGTGGTGCAGTTTGCACTTGGTTTGAAGCCACCCAGCAGTGCCATGGAAGAAAGTCCTGGCAATCTGCTTCTGTAAAGAAAACCCTATGGAGCAGTACTATTCTGTAACACATGGGGTCGCCATGAGTCAAAAGCCACTCGATGGCAGCTACTAACAATAACAAGGTAGGCAGCCAACCTACCCTTAAAAGGTAGCACATTAAGAATAGCGCATTCTTTATTTCAGAGTATGTCCTTGATGTATACTTTCAAATAATGCTACCACAGCATCAGTACTGCTGAAATAAACCCAAATGTCTAAAACTAGAATCAGCACTGAAACCGAGGATTAAGTAAAAACTGCCTACAGGCTCCACCTCAAGGCCTATCACTGAAAAAGCTGCAGGTGCCACAAGATTCACATCCTAGTCAATAAACCAGATGTCTCTGAGCCAACTCCAACTCATGGCAACCCCATGTGTGTCAGAGTAGAACTGTGCTCTGTTTTCAGTGGCTGATTTTCTGGAAGTAGATCACCAGGCCTTTCTTCTGAGGTGCCTCTGGGTGGACTCGAACCTCCAACCTTTTGGTTAGCAGCCGAGTGCATTAACTGTGTGCACCACCCAGGGACTCCTACAACGTGGGGGGCAGCAGTATTCAAGGGGAGTAGATGGTCGAGCCAATCCCGCCCCCAAAATGTGATTTACTATTTGTAGTCCACGTGTTAATCCTCAGGGGTTTCCAATGTTGCAAAACTCCCACTAGGCCACCTCATGTGCGGGGTCTGTGCTCTGCAGACAGCCTGTAGGATTCCCAAAACCAGAGCCATGGTTACAGGGAGGGCAGACTGGACTAGTTGGGGACAAGGCTGAGCTAGCAGAAGACGCAGTGACAGCACGTTAGGGAAAGTCTGTTTGGCAGCTCAACGCTCTGCCTTCAAGTTTTGAATCTCACTTTCAGCCAAGCCATGTGGACTCTCTCCTCTGCCCTGAGACTTGGCCCTTTGATCCCACCCTACCCCCCGACACACATACACTGCCTGTTACCTGGCTGGAAACCTCATACTCCACATGTTTCAAGAAGAGACCCTTCTTCTCCGGGATGAGCTCCACCTGCACAGTGTCACGGGCCAGCAGTTCCTGCAGGGTGTACGAGAGCAGCAGCGGGTTCCCCTGCGGCATCTGCATCCGAGTGGGCTCGGGGTCCGTCTGCTCGGTCCCCCGGGGTGTGGGCACGTCTGCGAAGGAGAAGGCGAGTGTCTTGGCCATCTAGTGCTGCTCTAACAGAAATACCCCAAGTGGATGGCTTTAACAAAGAGAAATTTATTTCTTCACAGTAAAGCAGATTAAAAGTCCAAATTCAGGGCGTCAGCTCCAGGGGAAGGCTTTCTCTCTCTGTCGGCCTTCTCATCAATCTTCCCCCGGACTAGAAGCTTCTCTGCACAGGGACCCCAGGTCCAAAGGACACGCTCTGCTCCTGGCACTGCTTTCTTGGCAGTATGAGGTCCCTTCCTCTCTGCTTGCTTCCCTTTCATCTCTTGTAAGATAAAAAGTGGTGCAGGCCACACCCCAGGGAAACTCCCTTTACATTGGTTCAGGGATTTGACCTGAGTAAGGGTGTTACAATCCCACTCTAATCTTCTTTAACATAAAATTACAATCACAAAATGGAGGACAATCACACACTACTGGGAATCATGGCCCAGCCAAATAGATACACACATTTCTGGGGGGAACATAATTGAATCCATGACAGCGGGCAAGCACCCAACACAGCCAGCTGCTCAGACAGCAGGCCCTCCTGACAGATCTGTCCCTTAGGATAAGCGAGCTCAGCACACAGACCAGCCTAGTTGGCAGTCCATTCCCCCCGCGTGCCACATTCCACACGCTAGTACACTTCTGCCCACAGGAATCACTGTCTGGCTAGGCCCTGGCTCCGGCATTAGCAAACACACCCACATTTCGATGACCAAGAGGAATCGAGTCTTCAACTTGGGGAAGGGACAAAAGTGAACATTTACAAATTACGTGCAAAAAAGAGTCCTCTACAGTCAAGAGAAGGTGCTAAGGGCTATACATTCGTCTGTATTTCCCCACTGTTTCTACCAACAACATATAACTTTTATATGCCATAACAATCATTCTCATTTTTTAAAAACCTACATGCCTGTTTATAGCTGGGATTTCTAATCATACACATCAAAGAATTAAACCCTAAAACATCAGCTTCCTTATGGACACAAATCACCCATGTACCCATTCACAAATCAGCAAAAGAGAGAGTACAGAGGGATTTCATGCCAAAAAACTTGCAGAAAACAAGGAAATCAGATTGTTGACTCAACAAATGTTTTGGTGTGTATTTTCACCACAATAAAAAATAAGTAGAAAAACATGTTAAAATGGCAGTTTTTTTCTTTATTGTACTTCAGGTGAAGGCTTACAGAACAAATAGTTTCTCATGAAACAGTAGTACACATATTGTTTCATGACATTGGTTAACAACCCC